GACACATGTCAGGGCTAACAGGAGCAAATTTAGTAGTTGCTAGCGAGTAGCGTTTGAGATGTCAGACCCTGGCTCTGAATCTCAGCCCCTGTCTCCTCTTCTCTGGTTTTCAATGTAGGAAGAAGAGATCCCAGGGTGAGAACATTACCTTGAAAAACATGTTTACAGGCAGTCCCCAAGTTAGGAATGAGACAGGTTCTGTAGGTTTGTTCTTAAGTTGAATTTGTAAGTTGGAACAGATATATTTAAAGTGTAACTCCAGCCAAAAATATATATCTTTTATCTTTGGATAGCATAGGGAAAGGTTAACACCCCTGTGGTGTTTGTTTGGCAGTTTTTGTCCCTGTCCAGAATATGTCACTTCACTTTCTGTCCCTGTGAGAATTCAATTTTGAAAAAAAAAAGTGGCTTGTTGTGGAAACAAGGATTGGTGATAAAGCTTCAGTGGAGACACCTTTTCCACATGATAATAACTCTTTCAGGAGTGAATTTCCTTTCCTAGGAGTAGATTTCTCTCACCTCCCATTGTCTCACCTCTGTTCTTAACTACGAGTCATTTGTAAATCAGATGTTTGCAATGCAGGGACTGCCTGTATACACATTTCTATTATTAAACTTGTTTATGCAAAAGAAATGACACTTTCTCTGCAATGCTTACTGATGCTTAATGTATTATGCTTAAGGACATTACCAGGAAGGACCTTCCCTTTAGATCACTGGTTCCCAACCTTTTTTTGAACAGGAATGACTTGACCAGGTACTACTTGACCAGGGACCACTCTCCAACATTAGTACCAAAAAGGTTACAAATTAGTTTTTGGACAACTTTAAATCTGGTTGGTTTATTTGAGTGGCTGATTCAGAAAATTGCACTGGATAGATCACATCAGCTCTAGTTTCTGATACAGAACGTATGCCATCCAGTAGTCGCCATCTGCTCACCCACAGAAAACCATATTGAATAACCTAGAGCTGATGTAGTCTATCCAATGCAATTTTCTGAATCAGCACCACAAATAACCCTGGAACAGGCCTAAAAACAAAGCCACCAAGAAAAAAATTGTTGGGCTGTTATTATCTGCATGTCTTGCAGACCTGATTTTAGATCTCACGGTCCACAGGTTGGTAACCACTGCTTTAGATCATTACCCAGAGTTGTTCCTAGGTCTCACATATTGACCATGAGAGTCCATCTTGACCTGGGAAGCCTACCTCGTAGCTTGGAAGTGTTATCTTCATGTCACCTGTCAAGTTATGACAATTGTATGCATTTTACTTAGAGGTGGTTTTACCACATCCTTCTCCTGGAATATATAGTCCTTAGCACCTGCTGTTCACTGTCAGTCTCCCTTTCAAGTACTAGCCAAAGTTGACCCTGCTCAGCTTCCAAGATCAGAGGGAATCCCCAAATCCCCAGTCAATGTGTCCATGGTCCTAGTTGATCAGGGGATTCTGGAGTTCTGATTCCAAAAGTGAAGTATCCTAAGCTCTGAGTAAGATCTGCATTTTCCTTCAGAATAAGTAGTCTGACTCAGTATAAGATAGCTTGCTGCAGGCGACAAGAGCGCATTAGTTGTTGTGTTAATCTTGGCAGATATATTTATTTGCACATATATCTTTTTTCATAATGTTTGTTTTGAACTTTATTGGGAAACAATTTTCTAATATTATATATGTGTGTGAGAGAAGATGTTGAGATATTCTGTATTAAGGTGTGATATCTCAAAATACTGGCATTGCAGTCAGCAATAACTGTTTTTACATTTCAGTATGAACTGGTTATCAAAGGCCTGAATTTTCAAAAATGTCTTTAGTTCTTTAATTTAGCAGATCATGGCCCATATAACCATTGACATGCATCTGAGCTGTTTGAAAAATTCTGCCAATAAATGTTGCCACTGGGCAAGGAATAATAATAATAATAATAATAATAATAATAATAATAATAATAATATAGATCATAGAATCATAGAGTTGGAAGAGACCTTGTGGGCCATCCAGTCCAACCCCCTGTCAAGATGCAGGAAAATTGTATTCAAAGCACCTCGACAGATGGCCATCCAGCCTCTGCTTAAAAGCCTCCAAAGAAGGAGCCTCCACCACACTCCAGGTCAGAGAGTTCCACTGCTGAACAGCTCTCTCTCATAGTTAGGAAGTTCTTCCTCAGGTTCAGGTGGAATGTCCTTTCCTGTAGTTTGAAACCATTGTTCCGTCTCGAGGGCAGCAGAAAACAAGTCTACTCCTTCCTCCCTATGACTTCTCCTCACTTATTTATACATGGCCCTCATCATTTCTCTTCTCAGCCTTCTCTTCTGCAGGCTAAACATGCCCAGCCCTTTAAGCTGCTCCTCACAGGGCTTGTTCTCCAGACCCTTGATCATTTCATTTGGCCTCCTCTGGACACCTTCCAGCTTGTCAACATCTCCCTTCAGTTGCAGTACCCAGAATTGAACACAGTATTCCAGGTGTGGTCTGACAAAGGCAGAGTTGGGGGGGGGGGGTAGCATGACTTTCCTGGATCTAGACATTATGCTCCTATTGATGCAGGCCAAAATCCCATTGGCTTTTAATAATAATAATAATCATCATCATCATCATCATCATCTTTATTTATACTCTGCCACCATCTTCCTGAAAAAAACAAAACAAGTTCTGACTCCGTATAGGGCAGCTTATGTGTCCAGACTTCTTAGCACTGGACAAATTTGATTTTCCTCTTGATTACATTAACAAAATGGATTTCTTCCCCTTTAACTGCCACAAACTGTTTTTTTTTTAAAAGGCCACACTGCCTTCTTTGAAATCTATAGCTTCTGGCATATCTGGGGTAAGGTTAGACTTGGAACTTACTAGCTTTGTCAGTTTCTAACTTTGTTCCATATTTCACTGGATCATCCTGGCAATAATTAGTTGTCCAGAGCAATTAAGAGCAGTCTCTTTCAGTGAAGTGCTGAAATGAACATTTAGCAACTAACTTGTTAAAATGGTCCAGCAGGAAGACAAGCAAATAAGGAGCTGGGAGGGATTGGCCACACATCGCTAAGTACTGCCATTTCAACTGCTGGCATGGAAGTTTTGCAGACGCTTGCATGATTTTGGCCAGCTAGGGAGAAGATACATTTCTATTGGAAGGACAGCAGTTTGATAGGATTGTTCAAAGCATTATGTCTTTTAACTGACCTGATGGTTTTGGCATCATTCCCTAGAAATCTCACACTTGAGGAGCATCAACTCAGCGAAATCCTTGGATGTCTCATCCCTGGAAAATCATTTCTCAGGAAGATGAAGTATCTAGCTCAGAACACAAAAAAGCACAATCTGTATTTTATCTCCTAAAATATATTTGGTCAATGAAGTGTTTCGTTCAGCTACTTTTAACTAACCTGCTTGTCCTCCAAATGTTTGGATGACAACTGCAGTCATGGCAATGGCTATGTTCTCTAGAGCTATTGGAAGTTGAGTTCCAGGATATCTGGAGGTTTGGCAGAGCCAGTTCAAGAAGGTGCAGGGCTGGCTGCCATTAAAATTATGTTTAAACTAACAATTCAAATCAAAACATTTAATATATAAGCATTAAAAAAGAGAACACAAACAAACAGGACAACACATGAAAGGCCCCTTGCCTTGAGCAGTCAGCTTCTGTTTTGTTTTGCTGAAACAAAACTGGCACTCATCTGCAAAAGGATAGGACGTCTAAACTCTCAAGGAAGGGAGTTCCAGAGCCCATGGGCAGCAACTTAGAAAATCCTCTCCCATGTTCACACCAGTTGCAGCAGTGAGGGTAGTGGAGCAAAGAGGAGGGCCTCCCCAAGAGATTGCAAGATGGGTCAGGTTCACATAGGGAAGCAGTGGCCCTCAAACATGCAGCCAATGGAGCTGTTGAAACCATGGGGTTGTGTGCTCCCTGTAGCCAGCCCCAGTTCATAACCTGACTGCAAATCTTTGGACCAGCTGACATTTCTGAATGCCCCGTGTGGTGTATGCTACAGGAATCCAAATGGGATTTGTCACAGTGGCCAGACCTGATCTTTCAACTGATTTGTGCATCTGGCTCACAAGCCCTAATGATTTAATACATGCCTGGCTATTGCTGATACTCAAGGTTTAGCTCAGGAGCATATTCAAGCTGTGAACTCATGACTTTAGGGGGAGTGAAAGCACATCCATCCAGTAGTCCTTATTCTCTGAGCAGCCTTTTAACTAGCCAGTGTAGTTCCATGTTGTATGGCTTCTGCTTCATTTTGTTTTCCTTATTTATGACAGGCTCTAGTTTCGAATCAAGACAGTTTCTTTGGATGAAAGTGGAACCAAAAAAACACAGTTAATCTGTCCTAGTGGTTCATGTATGTTTTAAATAGCATAGGAGACACAAACTCTGAAGGACTTCATAAATCAATGACTAATGAATCAAGTACGTACTATCTTCTGTGTTTACCCCTCTAAGAAGCAGTGAGGCATCTACAGGACAGAGTTCCCTAGACCATTCCAGAGAGATGACCATCGGAACACCATCATCACTGGTATCAAAAGTTGTGGAGAAATCCACCAACGGGGGCAAACACCCCCTGACCAGTTTCAGGTATATGTCATCCACCAAGGTAGCCAAAGACATCTCTGGTTTTAGGCCTAAAACCACACTGAAATGTAAGGATCTAGAAAAAAATGCTTTAACCAGCAGCTTTTGGAGCTGGGTGTGCACCACATGCTCCAATATTTTGACCCAAAATAAAATATTGGAAACTGGTCAATAGTTATCAAATGCAGATGGATCAGGGAGGGCTTTTCCTACAGTGATGTGTAACCACCTTGTCTAGGCATGATAGAGCTCTGCCTTATTTTAAGTGGACTCACTTTCCTCACTCACCAAGTCCCACTCTGACTTTTAAAAAATAATTCAGGAAGGTCAAGGTCCTGTTTAAACATTGTGCTCTTGTCTGTAAACAAGATAAAAGAAAGTCCACAAGTCCACAAGTCAAGAGACAGTAACAACTGTGAGTATTCAAAGACATAGCCATGCTAGTCTGGATTAGCATGCAAAGGGATCCCTTTGAAGTAGAGAACAAATTGGTAAGATAAGCAATACATCTAGGAATCTCCAAGTCCTCAACTGTAATTTGCTGGGACTAGATGTCAGGCAATTTAGTGATGTTTGGTTGTACCTGCAGTTTTAAGTTGTTGAACGTTGACCACAAGATGATTTTATTGCTGCTGTTGTTTTAATTTGACTGTTTTAATTAGTTATAACTGTCGTCGTTATATTGTAAATTGTATATTGTATTTTGTGAATTGTTGGGCATCGAATTGTGCCTTTTGTACGCCGCCCTGAGTCCCCCCTAAGGGGTTGAGAAGGGCAGGGTAGAAGCACTCCAAATAAATAAATAAATAAATAAATAAATAAATAAATAAGTTACCATGGTCTGGCTGGGAATGTATCCTCCATGAATATAGGTGTCTGATTGTCCAAATGGACCAATGGTCTTGATCCATTCAATAACTGCAAGTCAGTGTCTCTCACAAGTGTTGCAGTCCAAGATCACTATCATACTAGCTGTGGAAATATCAGAGTTGAAGTCCAAAAGATACGCCTCAATCTCTGAGAAATTGACAATGACATTATATGCATGGCAGTAATTTCCACTGTGTACAATGTGTTTTTATGCCTTGTATGTACAATCAGGATTGAGATTTTTGTGAAGGAGTGAATAGGAAGTGATTTGGGATGCTCACTTCTGTTATGTCGGTACTCTACTTCCATGGTGCACACAGCCCTGTGGTTATAAATTTCAGCACAAAAGCTCCTGTGTGGATGGTACTAACGTATGTGCCACTTTGCATGTAGGCAGCCTGTAATTGCATCCAGCTGGGCCCTCCTCCTTTCTACCAGTTCAGTGCACTGCCACAAGCAATGCAGTGAAATTCATGATTTCATTTGTTTGTTTTGGTAAGGGAGACATCCTATGTAAGCCTCCCTCTTACCACAAGGGATCAACACAAGCTAAACAAGCGATGGGGACTGAATTGCCCTCACTTAATCAGATCTTAGAGCTATATAGTAAATGAGTCATTTCCTGACTTTGCAGAATAAGCGTATGCTGGGTAAGGGAGAAGCTAGAGGCACTTTGATCTTTTCCTTTATGTGCTGATACCAGTAGCAATGGTGAAATGATTTGCTTTTTGAAAATATAATTTCCCCCCTTCCTGCTCTAAAGTTTCCAGGTTGGGTTTGAACATCTGTGAGCTCCTCGGCAGAGCTTGTAGCAACTACTTCATGCATGGTTCGGTTCACTTTTTGTTTTCAGTGATTTCGGCTTCGTTTCATCCTAAAGTAGGCCTGACATAATATATGTGCATTTTATTTAGAATTAAGATGCAGATATCACCTCTGGCAGCCGACTTCGGCCTTATTAGCATTGCCAACTCTACAAAATATGTCCGAGGTCACAGCATAAAGACTGAAACAGTTGCAAGTTGGCCAAAGGGGGAAGAAAAGAGACAAAACAACTCATCCTCCAAAGATGAAACCTCACTGGAAGCTGTTTTATCTGAGGTTTATGTAGAGCTGCTTGCTAGCCCCAGATAACGCCATCTTCATTTGTAATAGCAATATGATACAGCCATATGGATGCAACCCTAATGGAAGCCTCCAAAACTTCTCACTCAATTCTGATAAACATGACCATGAGTCATACCATCAAATGACAGGAGATACACTGAAAAGTTTCCTTAGTTTTCAGGCATATTTTTGATTGGTTTCCTTCATAGTGATTCCCAGCACTGCTTGGAACAATATTTGAATAGAACCATCCCATTCTCTGTCTCTCAATGTCATTTCCCCATCATTATGTCCATAGAGAATCAAATCTGACTGACTTAGCATTACATGGCATTGTTCCATTGTGTTGCACAACATTGGCAAGGATCTCCAATGTAGTGAACAGAGGAAAGAGAAAGAAATAGTAAACAATACAGCTTGATGTCAGAGACTTGTTAAAATTCTCCTCTCCATTTGTAGGTACATGTCTACAGATTACTTATCCATATTCTATCTCTCCCAACCCAAGTGTTTGTGGGTCTCTCTAAGTCCTCCATGGTATTTGCCTGGCCCAGGTATAGTCAAAGTTTTGGTTTGTTATTATCCACAGCTTCAGGTATACACGGGAGATTTTGGAATGAATATGCATTGTTATTATTATTTTACTTATATAGTTCCATCACTGTCCATTGTGCTTGAAAGAAAAAGAACATGAAAATACAGTTTCCTTCCCTCTGACTTACAATCTAAAGACATCACACACAGGAAAGAAATGTGGGAAAGATCTAGCAGAAACTGTCTCCTCTTCTGCCCTTCTTGGCTTGGGCAGTGGCAGTTGATATGGAAGGAAGGTCTTTCATCTTCTTCTGGGCCTAGTCATGGTGGAACTGTGGCAGTTTCCTTTTCTCCACCTCTGGAGCCAAGGCAGTGGCAGTTGGGAGAGAGCGGGGGCTTTTCATCTGCTTCTGGATCAATGCGCAATGGAGCTGTGCCTTCGTCTTCTCTTCTTTTCTTCCTCTGAAGGTGGAGCAGAGGCAGTTGGGCTGGGGAGAGAACATTTTGTCTTCTTTTTGGATTAGACATGATGTTCTTATTTCCCTCTGAGGTCACGGCAGAGGAGTAGGGTTGGAAGGGAGGGGTCTTTCATCTGCTTCTGATGGAGCTGGGTCTACCTCTCCCTTAGCTGAGATGCAGCCCAAAAAGGAGGCATTTGAGGTTCTGTGGGAGAGCCTGGGGTGGTAGAACTTGTTCTAGAGCTCAAATATTCTATCCTCAGTCCTTGAAGGATTGGGTTGTTGTAGGTTTTTCAGGCTATATGGCCATGTTCTAGAAGCATTCTCTCCTGAAGTTTCTCCTGCATCTATGGCAAGCATCCTCAGAGGTTGTGAGGTCTGTTGGAAACTAGGAAAATTTAGGGTTTTTTAAAAAATGCTAATCAAGGTGGCCAATTGAAACATTCACACCTACAGACAAGAGTTCGTTCTCCAACCCAGGACATTCCACAGATATATAAACCCAATTTTCCTAGTTTCCATCAGACCTCACAACTTCTGAGGATGTCTACCATAGATGCAGGTGAAACATCAGGAGAGAATGCTTCTAGAACATGGCCAATATAGCCCAAACAACCTACAACAACCCAGTGATTCCAGCCATGAAAGCCTTCTGCAATTCCTTGAAGGATTGACTCTCAACTATGCCAGCACATAAACTGTTTTATTAATATTGAAGGACTTGAAATCTTGTTCTCCCTGCAGATAAAAGCTTTGCATGTCTTAATCTCAGCCTAGAGTGTAAGAAGTTGTTGGGAGTAGCCACATTAAACTTGGTTGAGATTAATGTCAACCAGTCAAACAAAGGCAGCCAGTATTGAAGATGTAGCCACCAAATGAAGCTGAAGCCACGAACCAGGCTAAAAGGCAAAGGGAGATGCTGAGCCATTTATGTGGATCTGGCAAAGTTCTTTGAAGGTCCACTGATGGGGGAATTGCTGGAGGAAAGCTGGCTTGCAGCAGTTCATTATTAAGGATGCCGGAACATAATGTCCCTGTTTTTTCCATTGCTCACTTTTATGTGGGGGCCGGCCTGGAACACAATATATTATGCAACGGGGTTGTCTTGTCTCTGCAATGATATTAACAGCCTAATGCTAAACAGGTTCCGAGGAAATGAGGAGGAAAAAAATGACTTACTATATTTACCCTGAAACAAGATTCAATCTGCCACTGTATTTAATGCTATATTTTTCATTATCTCACAAGCATATGTTGGAAGGGCTACAGATGATGAAGTTAGCTGCTGGGCAGAGCTATCATCAGTGCTTTCCATCTTTATTTTAATAAGAGGAATGAGCAAATTGTTTGTGACCTTTGTCAAGGGCTTCCTGGAAGACAAGAAAACCTCACTCACAACAGAATCAGTAGCCTGGAGCTCTGTTGAATATTCAAAACCCTGGCTCTGAATAAATTGCCTTGTGATAAAGCTATTGTGTCTGACAGAGCCAGGGAGATGCCATTGAAAGCACAGAGGCTGGGTACACAAAAGTTGTTGTGTCTTTCACCCCCTCCCCTCTGATCTATTTGTAGCAAAACATTTGAAATGTTGAAGATGCAGAAATTCTGAATAGTAAATGCTCCTTCCAGATAATACCTGGTAGCATATGGTCAGGTACCTGTTCTTGCACTGTGGTTTGAATCACATCAGGATCTTATCCTTTCTTCAAAAAAAATCATAAGATGTTGGCACTCTCATTAAGCAATTTAGAACAGCAGTGGATAGTGGATCCAAGCCACTGGGTTTAGTCTGGTGTGAAAGAGAAGACAATATTCCAGCATATTGTCTGTTGAAGCAGAAGCCACCAACATATTTCTTTAATTTCAGCTGAAAGTGATGCCAGCTTGCGGTAATCCGCCCCCAAAGTAAGCTGAGATACATAACACAGTAAAGCATGCACTTTTATACACTTTTCAGGTTCAAAATTACCACCTCCACCAGCTGATCCTGGCTTGGCTTTGATTGGCCAAACCTGGATGATATCAATGAAGTCACCTTGCGGAGGTGGGAGTCTGGCACACTCCAGCCAATGGGATGTAAATTTTCCTCTGTACAATGGTTCCAGAGGAACTGGCAGGTCTTAGACTTAGAACAATGGATGAAATGATGACTGAAAGACCTGGGTCCCGATGTCATTCCAGACACATTTTGTGGTTACAAAGGACAGGACACTTTTGGTGGAAGATTCCTGTAAAGATATTGGTATGGCGACCTCCATGTTCTCCTTCTGTGGTCAAGTGAAAGCTTTCCTATTCCCACAGGCTTTCAGGAGATAACTGCATTGGGTGGTTAATGATTGTGTTGTCATCTTGTTGACTGAGATGGATAGATCCATATCTGCCTTTTCAAATGGTTTTATAAGCAGAAGGCCATTTTCTCTTTTAAATAGTTGGATTTGATAGCTGAAATTCTGTCTTAAATGGTTTATCTTTGTAGTTTGTTTAATTGCTTTGGAAAAAAAATCAGTATATTTTGACTGATGCTTTTGTATGTTTTTAATCTGTTCTGGTTTTAATATAATTGAGTTTTCATACTGGGGGAAAGGTGGGGTATAAATGGATATACCCCTCCTATTCCTGTTTCTTTGCCTCCTTGCTAAAAAAGGTAAAGGTTTCCCTTTGACATTAAGTCTAGTCATGTTCGACTCTGATGGGTGGTGCCCTTCTAAGCCCAAGAGCTGGCATTGTCTGTAGATACCTCCAAGATCATGTGGCAGAAATGACTACATGGAGTGCCATTACCTTCCTGCCAGAGCAGTACCTATTGATCTACTCACATTTGCATGTTTTTGAACTGCTAGGTTGGCAGAAGCTGGGGCTAACAGCGGGAGCTCACTCCACTCCCCAGATTCGAACCACTGACCTTTCGTTAGCAAGTTCAGGAGCTCAGAGGTTTAACCCACTGTTCCACCAGGAGCACCCCACCTCCTCATTGTTGTGGTCGAAATGAATGTCTTAGAACTCTTTGAAATTTCAGCTCCTTACCAAACTGACAATCTCAGGATTTAGTTGGATGAAGCCATGGAAGTTAAAAGGAATTGAAGTGCTATCATTTGCAGATGTAATTTGAGTTTCTAGCTTCTCCAGATTCAACCACAATTCATTAATTGCAGGGATTCTCAACCTTTGGTGTAGACTTTGAGATGACCCCTGGTCTCTTTTCTTTCTTGCAGATTGTTGTTCTTCTTGTTGCTCAGAACTGGGTGTAGTTACAGGTATCCCCAAGAATTATTTCAGTCCCTGGTCAACAATAATATTTCATTGGATCTTGGGGGATCCTGGGCTAAGGTTATATAAGACAGAAGCAAATAATGAAAACCAAAGTGTGCAGGTGTGGCCCAATAACTTTGAGATCTGGGTAAACTGCTTAGCAACAGGGCAGAATTAACTGTTCCAGTCTGTTCCCAGTCTTTGCCAGAGTTGCACTGCAAAGCAAATGCAAAAAGCATCCAACAAGCTCGCTAATACAAACTAATCTTTTCATGCCACTGGACAAGTGTCAATGGTTGCCCATGATGTCAACAAGGATCCCAGAATCTCTCTCAGGCAGCAGAGACCTAACTCACTACACTTATGAGTTTGTCCTTTTGATTGCTCTCCTCACCTTTTCCTTTTTTTGTATAGATTGGGATTGCTGTGGGCCAAATCGGCTTTGGGCTATGTTTCCTGGACAGAAGTGTTTGGTAGGCATATGAACTTATCAAGGCAGTTGTGATGGTGCCGAGGCAGTTCTTCTGCCAAATGCAAAGAGGGTCGCCCTCCTGCCAAGTGCAGATGGACTTTGCAGCCATCTTGCCCCAATCTGCCAAGTCTCCAGCAAGACTCCCAAGATGAGCAAGCATCTTTAACCAAGGGGACTCAGTACTACCTCTATTATGCCCTCCATCTGTTTCTTCCAGCCTACCAACCCGGTTGCCAACATCCAATATGGATTGAACCTCAATTGCTTGGCTTCCATCAAAACCCTTTTATGTTTTTTTTTTAATTTCTCCAATAAACTGGGAACACACGCCTGGCATCATATGCCAGCAATTCAGGTAGTACGCATATATTTCCATGACTGATAGACCGAGCAAAATAAAACATGATGGGAATGAAACTAAATTTAATTACTGAGTTCTCAGGCCTATTTGCCCCAAGTTCCACTGGTGTCAACCATTTTATATTGTCTATATAAACTGTAACAGGACTGACTATAGCTCACCATAGGATGTGTATGACATGATGATCCTGGATTATGTAATGTAATGTAATGTGTAAAAATATCCCTAAGGTTATGGAAATTCTGGTTGACTCTTCTTATGTTTATTGATGTTGTTTTGATGTACAATCCACAAGGGAAAGCCTCTCTGAACAATGAGGAGACAGTAAGGGAAATGTCCTCCGCTTTTCCCTGAGATTTGTGCTACTCCTGCTAAACCATCTGCTCATAAACTTTAAGAGCTAAATGGAAGGTGTAAACCTGGCGTAGCATTGATATGGTTCTTCCATTGTTTTTGGCTGATTCACAGCTCACTGGATGTTGTCCAGGCCTTCTCACCACCGCCAAGGTTGCCGTCATCCAGTGTAAACGCCATATGTTAAGATTCAGATGACATATTACCTAAAAAGTCATGAATGATTATGCTGTGTCTCTTCTCGCAGGACTGTGATTAGAAATATTTATGTAAATGCACTTTCTGAAGAGAAATGGTACTTGGTGTTAGGAAACAGTACATGCGGTTGCTGTAATGAGATACTTTGACTCAGCCATGATATTTCCATGGCTGAAAAACAATCTGAATTAATAGCAATGATTGAGAGAAAATCCACCCTACCCAACTTTTCACAAAAAAAGAAGAGATGGAAGGTGCTGATCTTCACAAAGAGTGTTCTGGGACTCCTTTTCTCTTGAATAAGTGAAAAAGATGAATATAGGTTCCAGCATTAAAAGAAGAAATGTCTGGAGGCGAATGAAGTGTAATGTTTGAGCTATAAGAATGTTTAGGGGCAAAACCACACCCATATGCCAAAAATAGTAATTGAAATCCTGGTAGCTTTACTGGAGCAGGTCATTGAATCAACTGGATTTACTTACCAGTTGGCTGACTGCTGAATTACTTCGGTGCATCTATTTTAGTTGGGACTAAAACAGGATTCTAGTCATTGTCTTTTTCAGCAATATTTTTTATTGGGGAAGGGGTGCTCAAGGCTGACTTGGGAGCACATAGAGCCAAGGCTTGCATTGGGTCCCATTACAGGCTTCATGTATCCTGTGCACACCACAATTTCTCCTTTTTTTGGTTAGAGCATTTTGGTTCAATACTTCATGAAACTTCTGGAGGTTCCCATCCAGACGGCACCTTTATCCCAGGAACTTCCACAGCAAACAGAAAGGTTACCAGATGCCATTCCCTGTAAATGTGGAAGCAATCAGTAGAAAAGACAACAACCGCAAGATTTAAACGTGCGGGAATATGGTGGTTTTGAGCTGAATATCCGAATCTGTCTGTATGTCCTTGCAATCAGAAAATCATGGGATTTTTGATCTAGGTTTGTTCCTGAATTTTAGATGTTTGTTCCTGATTGATTGGTTTCTAAAAAGAAAGTAACAGTTGAACTGAATGTGAAAACTTTGTTTGTGTGCCAAAAACTTTATGAAACATGTGGAGGGCACATTTTCTCTGGCCAGGACAAAGTTGTGATCCCATAGTCAACGTTGCACATCTTTTCACAAGAAGAGCAATCAGGAACAGCCATGTATAACCCAGGAACAGCACCCTGTTTTTTGATGCCACAAGTACACAACCAAATCTGTTTGGACAGATGAGCAGGCAGCCAGGCTCTAATGTGTGAATAATGACAAAGTTCTGTTCCTGGCTTGCAAGTGTTTGTTACTGCTTGATTGGGCATTGTTGACTTGGGCAGAAGTGGCCCTACCCTGTGAACTTTGTCTGTGTGGCAGATACTTCATGAAACATTTGGAGGTCACATTTTCTCTGGTCAGGACAAAGAATGGAACTTTTGCAGTGATTCACATATCTGAATTTCCACATATCTGCATACCTGCATCTTGAGGTTTATTTTTAAGGTGAAATTTCCAGCAGAAGTCCCTAAGTGGCCATCTTGGGAGCCTCTAAATCTCATGGCAAAGCATCAAGTCTGGACAACAGAGGCAGAAATCCCAGGACCAACAGGTCTGTATGTGGACCTCTTCTGAAGTCATAGGATTTTTTGCTCCTGTTTAAAACCCATGAATAAGTGCTGTCTGGAAATGCTCTGGTCTTGGGATATCTAGATTCAAGTGTCCATTGAGATATGACACTAGGCATGCCACATTGAGGTCACTGAAAGGATGGAAGTAGGCCCAGAATTCCCCATCCAGCAAAGTAAGTGGTTGTGCCAACTCGTGAATTTCAGAAGAAGATCCTACCAGCCAATCTAACTATGTTGGCATGGGGCAGCACTGCTTTGATCTTCATAAAAGAGCCATGGATACAGTTGTGATTGATGGATGGATGACAGATAAATGCCACCTCAGTCAGGAGGGAAAGCTGTATTTTGTCCAGAAAGAAGTCTTCTATTCAAGAGTTGTCAAAGTGGCTTTCTCTGACTCTTTATTCAGTCTTTTGGTCATTGTAGCAAATCATCCCAAAGAGTGCTGATGGACCAAAACAAAAATCAAGGGTTTGAATCCCCCCAAAATATTTTTAAGTGCCTCTGAAAATATACAAAAGCTACAAGTTGAAACTAATAAACAAATCCTAACACTGGGTTGTTGTAGGTTTTTTCAGGCTATATGGCCATGTTCTAGAGGCATTCTCTCCTGACGTTTCGTCTGCATCTATGGCAGCAACCTAAGAGGTAGTGAGGTCACGTCAGGAGAGAATGTCTCTAGAACATGGGCATATAGCCCAAAAAACCTACAACAACACAAATCCTAACACCTTTCTGCATCCAAGTAAATAAACAAATATACAATAGAGTGAAGGAAGATTGCAGCAAAAGTTACTTAAACACGTATCTGGAATGCTATGGCACACTACTCATGCACTTGTATTCAATCAAACTGTATACCGTATACTGTGATTAAACTGTTCCTTGGTGTACCCTTGCATCTAGTTTGGTTAGAGCTTGAGTGGATCAGGCCATCTAGAATGATACAAGAAGCTTTCAAGTTCAGACAAAAACCTGGATCATAATCCCACTGAACTGGAAGCCATTCGCTGCTACTGCTTCAACAAGAGGGAAGGAAGGAAAGAAACTAAGGGAAAAATTAGATGGGTAGAAAATGTACAGTTTTAGTCAACTTCCCTTGACTAAAATTAGGACTGAGAGTTCCAATGTTTGTTCACCTGTCCCGGTATATCCAGGAGCATCCAGATCTCTGCACTCTTCTTGTGGATCTGATGACTGCACTGGTGGACATGTTCCCAAGGAGGGTTGCCACCATGGGATCAGCCGGCACCTGCTTATGCAAAGGATCAGCAGGATCGGCTGTTGCTGATTTCGCTGACATCTGTCCCCACAGTGAGACAAGCTGCAAACATGAATTATTGAAGGCGTACACATGCGTATCTGTGTCGTGATTACGCCAAACAATACACTTTGCCACACTCTTGAGAGCTGAAAGCAGGGAAGCTGTCCACCAGCTGCTTTAACCCCTTTCCCAACAAGCTGTTTCCATCTTTTCCAGCACACAGACTTCTTGGGTCTGAAAGATTCGGGAGGCTGTGTGAACATTATGCAGGGTTAATATTATTGTAGGTATCACGGAAGTCATGGTAGTATCAGAGCTTGTGGGAAGATAATTTTGGACTGCAACTCCCAGAATTCACTAGTTGGAATATTGCCAGAAAATTTGGGATGTTGTGGTCCAAAAGGGATATATTCCCAATATCTGGGTAGCAAAAGTTTGTGAGTATATTTTAACTGAATGTTTTGGAAACTACCTTGATCCTATGCTGGAAGAAAGTTGGCATTCAGATGCAAATAATAACAAAAACAATTCAAATAGCCCTTAAGCAATAACATGAGAGAAAATATTTATTGTAAATGAAATACTTGGAAAATATGTCCAGCATTCTTTTGAAAAATAAGATGATTTTGATTAAACACAACTAAGATTTATTGGCTCAAACCAGCTATATCTTAAGCCTTCTTGAAACATCTGCCCGGCAAAGAGAGAAGAGTATTGCATGAATTCAACTTCCTTTCTTCCTTTGCATAGACCATCAATGAGATTTGAAACAGAAAAATCTGGGAGAAGAATCACACAGGCATCATCTTTTTGGATATGTGTTCTGCAAATTGGAAAGGTCAAAGAGCAGTGTTGGAGTACACACTTTGCAGGGAGAACGCCCCATATTCAGTTCCTAAAATCTACGAAAGATAGTTTGTGTAATGGCATGACTTTGAGTATTGGCAATGGAGGCTGTATATTCTGCTCAGGACTTTATCCCATGGGCAGGAGGGAAGGGCGAGGAAAGCAAGGGAAGCATCTTTAAGAGTAGGGACTCTACCTACAATCTTCAGGGATGGCCAGCCATCTCACAACATTTCCCCATCTTCTTCTGGCTTTCCTCTGCTTCCCACCGCCGTCTTCAGTCAAGAGACAGTAAACACCTGGCTCCTAAAAATGAAGTCTTCTGACCCTCTTCACACACTGGCGAGATGGATTTCCATGCACAGCCCCAGCTTTGCATCATGGTGGGACTCCATTTTGCCAGTGTCTAATAATGGTAAGAAAAAAAGGGGGGATTAGGGATTAGGGTGGGATAAGGTTGTAAGTTTGGTTGTGATTTTACTGGAGCTGAATCTATGCTTGCAATAGGGTTCAGTCCCTTGGATAGCCAGAATTTAGAAGAAGGATAGGTGGACTTGGGAAAGTTTCATGACTTTTGGAAGGTCTGTATGCCTAGACCAGTGGTTACCAACCTTATTTTCACCAGGGATCACTTAACCAGGGACCCTTTAATGAGGGACCGCTTTGACCAGGGTTCACTTTGACCAGAGACCACTCTCCAACATTAGTACCAAAAGGGTTATGAATCGATTTTTTTTATCAACTTTAGATTTGGTTTGGGGTTCTGATTCAGAAAATTGAATTGGATAGACCACATGAGCTCTAGTTTCTGATACAGAACATATGCCATGGTCAGGAGCAGGGAAGGAGTGGCAGGTGGCGCAAAAGGTGCAGAAATAAAATAAAATAAAGAGGAAGGAGGCTCGCGGATCAGATTTTCATCCTCGTGGCTCACTGGTGGTCTACAGCCCACAGGTTAAGAACCAGTGTTCTAGAGGA